ATAAGAAGAATGCATGGAAAGAGAAGAAGAAACTGGTCACATTCATTGCAGGAGTAATAAATGCAACATTTGAAATAAAATCAAAAACAGAAAGGATTCAGGTGATTGTGAAAGCAGCAGAACATCATTTGGATATGACGACCTATATAGGCAGTCGGCTCCACCCATTTTGGTGGGCTGAAATGCCACAGTTTTGTTCAGCTGCACAAACATTAACAAATCAGGCTTCAGTATTTGGAGAAAAACAGAACTTCCCCCAAGCTGGATTCCACGCTATGTGAGAGACCGTTTGAAAGGGAACAACAGTCATATTCAGAAAATAAATGAAAACAAATGTAAACAAATTTGGATATTTATAATCTTTCAACACTTCTAGCTATAACTGACATGTTTTGTAACATGAAGCACTTTGAGAAATAAGCCAAATGAATATAATAGTGTTTAATGGGTACAGTCGAAACAGTTTCTAGATATGCTAAATGTATCAGCATATTCATAAGCTCTGCAGTTTATTTAGAGAGCAAAATTATTAAAGTAAAAATATTTGTTGGCAGATGTAGGAAGAAAATAAATGCTTAGATAAAACTGTTGATCAATATTGTAGAGATTAATTATTCTTAATTTTAATTGTTAATAAACTGTGGGCTTCTGCTGGCAATTTATACTTTGTAGCGTTTAACACTGCCTTTAATAAAATAAGGAACTATAATAACATATGTAAATGGATTTTTAAGGCATTTTAACATTTGCTTTAGGTGTTGTATTTATTGTATTGTATTTTAATACGTCCATACTATTGGTTAGGCTACATTACATTATGGATGAGTGTTTCAACTGTACATTCTGGCATGGGTAATTGGAAAAAATCCACTTGTAGTATTTACGGAAAATAAAAGCTATTTGTAGACATCCGAAAACTGCCATATGAGGCAATGACTTTGCAGGCAGCGTTTTTGCACGAAGGCACCTCATGAAGCTGATTTCGGACAGGCTTCTGAGGCAGGTTTAATGATCTACAACAAAATAGAACGAGTTTTTGTGATAACTAAACGAACATTTCATTACTATAATACTGATTTCTCGCTAAATATAACATCAAAAGTGCAAAAAGTTAGTCAGAAATATACATTTACACACAAACTGACCACCAAACGCATCTTTATTTTTTAGCTCAACCGTCCAGTAGCCCCTCACTGCAGAACACAACCGTCACGGAATGGAACGCACAGGATTGTGGGATATTCAAAATTCGATCAGAAGAAGAAGGTACCTCTGGGGAACACGGCTTGCAGTGCGGGTGGGAAATTTGAACGCTGGCAACGTCAAAACGCCTCTACAGTGAGACTTAGACCGAAACTAGTTTCTACGAGGACTGACTAACGAGGAATCAGATACACACAAACGTGGGAAGACTGAGGACTGTGAAGTTAAGGTATTGTGAGTATAGTAAATATAGGTGTTGTGAGGAGCTTGGATTGGGATTATCGACCGACGGCCTGTATATGTCGGGAACAATACTCTCACGAAGTTCCTTGCAGGCCTGGGGGAAAATGGCAGGGGAAGAGACTGACAGTGAGAGTAACAGTATGGTTTGTAGTGAGGAAGATGAGACGGGGATAAATGAGTGGGAAAATGTAGGAAAGGGAAAGAATGGAAAAAGTCGGAAAAGAAAGAAAAAAGAAACATCCAGCATTGAAGAATCGGAAAGTGAAGGAAGTGAAGAAAGAGAAAAAAGAATGAGAGAGGGTATAACGATTGTAGTTGTTAGATTTGAAGGAGAGGGAGGAACAAAGAAAAGTGACCCGATTAAATTTTAAAAAATCATCAAAGGACAAATTGGAGAAGTTAAATATGCTAGAATTCTAGGAGATGGGAACTTGTTAATTGGGTGTAATAATAAAGACCAAATGGAGAAGGCTAGAAAACTAACAAATGTTGGAAAAATAAAAGTTCTTAAGGTTGTAAGAGTTGGGGAAAAGAGAATCAATGGATGCAAGGGTGTGATCTATGAAGTTCCCATTCATGTTAATATAAGAGAACTAGTGGAAAGCATTAAAGTGGAAAATGGCACAGTGAAAAGTGTAAGAAGAATGACGAAAGGGGTAGAGAAAAAGGAAACAGAATCTGTACTAATCGAATTTGAGGAGAAAGAGATACCCAAGCAGGTTTATTTTGGCTTTGTAAGATATAATGTAAAGGAGTATGTAACAAAACCAATGAGATGTTACAAATGTCAAGAGTTTGGACACATAGCCAAAATGTGCAAAGGGAAGCAAAGATGTGCTAGATGTGGGGGGGTGCATGAATATGGGAAGTGTGGTGAGGGAACAAAACCAAAGTGTTGTAACTGTGGAGGAAATCACAGCGTAGCTTACTGGGGATGTGAGGTACTTAAAAAAGAAGTGGAGGTGCAACAGACAAGGTTAAAAGAGAAGGTATCATATGCTGATGCAGTTAAATTGGCTGGAAAGGAAAAACATAATTAGGAGGGAAGAGGGAATATAAAGCAAGGAAAAGTAAATGAGCAGCAAGATAAGAAGAATGCATGGAAAGAGAAGAAGAAACTGGTCACATTCATTGCAGGAGTAATAAATGCAACATTTGAAATAAAATCAAAAACAGAAAGGATTTAGGTGATTGTGAAAGCAGCAGAACATCATTTGGATATGACTGAAGTGGGAGGAAATAAATGATGAATTGAGGATGCAAGCAAGTCAAGAGAATTCACGTGTTGGGTGATAATATTAATAATGTTAATTTTGCAATGGAATGCAAGAAGTCTATTGGCTAACGGACAAGACTTTAAGCAGTTTGTTGCTAGTAGGAGAGAAGTACCCGAGGTTATATGTGTACAAGAGACTTGGCTAAAAACTCAATTAGATTTTGTCTTATATGATTATGCGGCAGTACGACATGATTGAAGAGAGAAGGGAGGAGGAAGATGTGCAACATTTATAAAACAGGGTGTATCATACCAAGTATTAGGTATAGGAAATGAACAAGAATATGTGGTAATAAAAGTGTGGGCTGGAAAGAAGGAGTTGGTGATGATCGGTCAGTGTATAGAGAAGGAACAATTGGCAGTGAGCATTACCCAGTATGGTGTAGAATAAATATAGAGGTAATTTTAAGTATAGAAAATATAAGTGACACGTGGAATCTTGGAAAAGCAGATTGGGGAAAATTTCAGGAGGAAAGTAATAGATATCTAAGTCAAACTAATTTTGAAATGGATGTTGAAACATTAGATTACAAAGTAAAGCAAGGTATAATATTAGCAGCAACAGAGGCTATCCCAAAGAGCAAAGGGAAAAATAAAAGGAAAGTAATGCCGTGGTGAGATGATAAATGTAAGGAAGTAATTAAAAATAAGAATAAAGCATTCAAGTTAGTTAAAAGGACACATAATGTTCAACATATGGTTCAGTATAAACAAGCCCAGGCAGAAGTTAGGAGGACAGTAAGACAGGCAAAAAGGAAATTCTGGAGAACATATTGTGATTCAATTGGAAACACAACTCCAATAGAAGAAATATGGGGTACGATTAAAAAGATGGGGGGTGATAGAAGGGAATGGAGTTATCCAGTTAAGTTAGAAGGAAATGAAACTGCAGTAACTAATACAGAAAAGGTAGAGATGTTGGCAAAAGCTTTTGTTAAATTAAATAGTTCTAATAATTTGTCAGAGGAGGGGAAAAGAGGTAGAGAAAGAACAAAGGAAGAGAATAGGGGTGTATTAGGCAGGAAAAATAATGGAGATGGAGGACACGATGTCCCTTTTAACATGGGAGAACTGCAAAGGGCATTGAATAGGACAGGGAAAACTGCGCCAGGGAAAGACAAAGTATGTTACAGTACGCTAAAACATTTAAGTCTAGAAAGTCAGGAGAAACTACTGATGTTGTATAACAGAGTGTGGGAGGAGGGAAGGTTACCAAAAAGTTGGAAAGAGGCAGTAATTATTCCAATAAGAAAGCCTGCCAAAGATCCAAGTAGTCCGGGAAATTACAGGCCAATTCCACTAACGTCACATATTTATAAGACTTATGTATTTTCTGGAGAGTAAAGATGTAATTGCTAGTTGTCAAAGCGGATTTAGAAAAGGAAGAAATACAATGGATCTGGTAATAAATTTGGAGGATGAGATAAGAAAAGCTCAAGTAAACAAAGAGACAGTGGGAACAGTGTTTTTTGATGTGGAGAAGGCGTACGACATGATGTGGACGGAGGGACTTTCAATTAAATGGCATTTAATGGGAGTTGGAGGGAAAATGTTCAATTGGATCATGGATTTTTTAAATGGAAGGATTATACAGGTAAAGATAGGACAAGTATTATCAAATCAATATATTGTAGAAAACGGGACACCACAAGGGAGTGTAATTAGCCCAATTTTATTTTCCATCATGATTAATGATATATACTCAGAGCTTCCAGTGGATATGGGGAGATCCCTATTTGCGGATGATGGCGCTATATGGAAAAGAGGAAGAAATGGTGGACATCTGTACATGATACAAAATATGATAGGTATGAAAAGTAAGAAGGGAAATAAAAGGAAGGAACAAGTCATAATAAATAGACTGAGGATTGGACATTGCAAGCTAAACAAAACTCTTCATGTTATAGGAAAACACCCGACAGGACTATGCCAACTGCCGTAAAACTCCAATGAAGAAGAAGAAGAAGAAGAAGGAACCTCCGGAGACAGGAAGTAAAGCAGAATTTGGATTCGGACGTGCCTTGATGCCTTCCTGCCTTGGAATGCTGCCTCTGAAGGCAGCATTTTAGAGCTTTCGGACGCAGAAATGGTTGGTCTTAGTTTTATTTGTAGACAGTTGAAAATATCTTGACGCCTTCCGCTTCCAACCCGTCCAGTTAACAGAAGGCAGGAAAGGGTTACTTAAACGGAAGTGACGTTTCAGCGCTTGTGCCGTACTCGGAAGTGAACAAGAATGAAGAGAGAACTGGACTGTGAAAGAAGCTAAAGATAGGTGAGAAGACAGGCTGAGCGGCTTCAAACTCATCTTATACCCGAGTTTAACTTTACTGTCTGTACACTGTTCTTTTAGTGTAGTAAAAGCAGCAACGCTCGCTGTGGATGTTCTTCTGTTAGCATGCCCGCTAAAGCAAAACAGCATCGTTAAGGAAGAGATTAAACAAATATAAAGAGTATTAAACATAAACATTTACAACAACGAGCGCCGTCTGTAAACTCTCAGTGAGCTGCATTTGAGGAGTCGATACTCATGCACTTTATCAGGACTGAGTGTTCAGTAAGTTACAGACATGTGATGTTTGCATGTTTACGTTTCATTCTCTGGTACTTCCTTCATGGCTGTGATGTGCTTTTATTGCTCAAAAAAGCTTCGTGACAGGTTACAATAAGAATGAATGTTATGTAGTCTTAACTGTGGGACTTGACATTTACGTCAGCTAACTTGCTGGCAGTAACAGTGATAGGAGTTTTGATACGAGTCACTCCAAATGCTAAATGAACTCGTTAAATAGTGTACACAACAATTTGTTAATTACACAAATTGTAAATGCATTCTATTTTTAACACGGTTTGGATGTAAAAACGTCCAAACCAGTAGGTTTCATGTATATTTATTTATATATGTAACTACAAATGTAGGGTAACCATATTGATAATCCACACATCTGAATATAGAATGCAACAGTGACTGAAGCATCTTCCATTGATTTTTTTCCGTAGGCATTACAAAATATCTTCAAGTTCTAAACCATGAACCAAACTCTGAGATTAATCATCACAAACACAGAATCGAAACGAAAAGTATTTGAAAAATGGGCCAGGGAACGGCTCTGTGAACATGCTCATCATGATGCTTTCCAAGTGATGTTCTCGATTCACAATGGTGCAATATCAAACTATTAATTTACAATTATTGATTATGTGGATAAAAACAGTTTATTGCATCTCTTCAAGATTATTAGTTCATTTCAACTTCAAAATTATTAATTAGACTTTACTTCGTGTCGACAGAAACACGTATCAATGCTTAATCTCAATTTTGGATGGTAGGTCTATGTTGAAAGGTTAATATGTTATTAAAAAAATTCTATGGCGGAAATGAATGAGATTTTTACTTCTGGAACCCTGTGGTTGTGTTGTTGAGGTCCTTGTATATAGTATATAAAAAGTTTTAAAGGGGTCATATGATGCCATTTTAAAGATCATTATTTTGTGTATTTGGTGTAACAGAATATGTTGACATGCTTTAATGTTCAAAAAACACTATAATATAACTGTACATTATTGTAGGTCCTCTATGCCCCGCCTCTCTCAAACACGTCATTTTCAACAAAGCCCCCTCCTTTGACAAGCGCAGTCTGCTCTGATTGGCCAGCTGACCCAGTGCATTGTGATTGGCCGAACACCACAAGCACGCGTCGGAAATGTAACGCACCTTACCATAATCGCGAGCTTCAGCTTTCAAATGAAATCGCATCATATGACCCCTTTAATAGTTATTTTATTTTGAAGTGTATTATTTGTTAGCATATACTAGAACATATGGTTTCAAATATAAGTACTTTGTTCAGATGTACTATTTTGAGTACATTGACAGATTTTTCTTCTCATTTGCAGGGGCTCAGAATGCCGCTGTGATTTGGAGATGTCCCTGATCGTCTGACCCCATATTGTGTTTCATTTGTAAATATGAGACCGTTGTTAAATACAGTGCATGCATGTCTAAGTCTGCTGCCACCCTGAAGTTCATGATGGATCTCTCCATGACTGTCTTAAGCGTGAGGGAGTGAACCCTTGGATATTTGAGCAAGATGGAAGGAGACATGGCTGTACAATGGGATACAATAGAGCCGCCCGTTGTTTCTCTGGCCAGTCCGTGTTATGGAAATGACAGCCATGTGATATCGTCGCAAGGACCTGAGTGTGAACATGAGACGGTTGATGATTTTGATTGTGAATTCCCTGATGAAGACTTTGATTTGGAAGTAGACGAGAATGAAGAGCAAAATACCAAAACTGAAGATTTGAATGATGATCAGGTGCAAGATGTGATTTCTGAGAAAGACCAGGAGAAATGTGAAAGAGGGGGAAACACTGAATTAGAGACTGAGTTTAGAGACAATGGAGAGACTAGATCTCGCAGTGCTGGAACTGGTAGGAAAGGAAAGTCCAAAAAGGGTGGATCAGGGCAGGGGCCTTGCGATCAAACCCCGTCATGGACATCTCCATCTTTCATGTCTCATAAATCCTTCCTTGTGTCCTCTGGGCCCGGCAGACACAAGCAGGTGAGGCGACGCAACCAGCATCTGCACAATCACAGCCGCGTGCGACAGAAAAACGGGATCCAGCTGGTCATGGTGTGTCGGGATTTCCTGGCAGATTTCGTCAGCCCCTGGTGCATTTCCTGCATCCATATGGTCGTGGAGCTCATCATCTCTTTGACCCACCGCTGTGGGGTTGCTGTTGAATCATCTGCACTTGCACTATACAACTTTGGAACACACATGCTTTACAAAGTGACAGATTTTCCAGGCATGACACAAGATTTGAGGCGATTCCTGGACTGGAGCTGGTGTTCAGGTGTGGCTTTAATAGAGGGCATCAGCAGGTCTGCGCGCTGGGCTCGACATGCTCTTCTTTCCAGTTTGAGATTTGTTTGTGCTGCACTAAGCTCTGGCTCTCAGATGATGAGGTGTATTGTGGGAAGGCTGGCTGGAGAGAGAGGCAGGAAATGGTGGCTTGCCCTCCAGAGCAGCAGGGTTTGGAGGAAAGTGTCGGATCTGACCACGAGGATTCATGGGTGTTTCTTTAAAAAAGGCGTCATGAGTGAAAGATCAAATCCAGAGTCTCCCAACAGGGGGGCAGACAAGTGGCAACCTGGCGAAGAACTGCAGAGACTGCTGGCACTAGCAAAGGTAGTGCTTTGTGTTTTCATAGAGATGGAAGCATTCATGTCTGATAAGGTGACAATTTTGAAAATGAATGATTCTCTTTATGTTTTAGGAGAAAGCTGTATCATGATGTGAATGATCTTATGATTGCAGCATCTGAGCAAAACGTATATAGTATATATTTACAAGTATATAAGTATACAGTGCTGCTTGAAAGTTTGTGAACCCTTTAGAATTTTCTATATTTCTGCATAAATATGACCCATCAGATTTTCACACAAGTCCTGAAAGTAGACAAAGAGAATCCAATCAAACAAAGGAGACAAAAATATATATTTTGTCATTTATTAATTGAGAAAAATGATCCGGTGTTACATATTTGTGAGTGGCAAAAGTATGTGAATCTTTGCATTCAGTATCTCGTGTGACCCCCGTTTGCAGCAATAACTGCAGCTAAATGTTTCTTGTAACTGCTGATTAGTCCTGCACAACTGCTTGTAGGAAGTTTAGCACAGTCCTCAGTACAGAAGCGCTTCAACTCTGTGATGTTGGTGGGTTTCCTCCTATGAACTGCTGGCTTCAGCTCCTTCCACAACATTTCAATTGGATTATGGTCCGGAATTTGACTCAGTCATTCCAGAACATTAACTTTGTTCTTCTTTAAAGGGGTCATATGATGCAATTTCAATTTTTCCTTTCTCTTTGGAGTGTTACAAGCTCTTGGTGCATAAAGAAGATCTGTAAAGTTGCAAAGACTAAAGTCTCAAATCCAAAGAGATATTCTTTATAAAAGTTAAGAGTCAGCCACGCCTACCTAAAACGGCTCGTTCTAAGACGCCGCCCAAATGTTCACGCAAAGAAAGAAGGCGTAACTTTTATTCTGGCTGTAGTATTGTTGCTGCCGCCATGTTGTGAATGCGCTGTGTGTGCCTGGAGCTGCTGGTCGCTGAGGAAATACATCAACTTCACGCTGTCGATCGCCGGATCGGCTTTCACCTTTCACCGAGCGGAGTCCAGCCCAGGGTCGTCACATGTGGTTGCCGCAAGCCCTGCCGGACGGTCCTTCGTCGAATCCGCCGCCTCTGCTCACTCAGCCCGCCGGCTGTTCCTCACTCTAGCCTAGTGCTGGGCGGTATACTGGTTCATACCGAATACCGGTGTTTATTTTTGTTATGATATGAATTTTGAAAATACCGCAATACAGTGGCATGTCGTTAAAACAACGTTCGGAATGCGACACTGTTTGAAAGGGGTCCCTTTTCACTGTTGCACTGTGGTGAGGGAACAGCTGTATGTGTTACTTACTAAGTGTGAAAGTTCAGAAACTGAAGCTGTAGAACTAATAGAACGTGATGACACAGAAGAACTCATCCACAATATCCACATTG